TTCCTAGATCCTTTATTCACTCTCTCTCTCTTTCTTCATTCTCACTTCTCTCTCTCTCACTTCTCTCTCTCACGCCAGTGTCCTAACGCAATATGACACACATTACCAGGATACGGAGCCAATTAACATATAACGCTAACTCACAGTGAAAGCCAACCATTCAGATGTTGTCAGAAGTTGTCGAGTCCTTTGGACGAACATTTATAGAGTTAAGATTGTCATCAGCACCAAATGAGATCAAAAGACAAATACATGGCACCCAAGTACGGAGACAGGAAAATAGGCGATCAGCTTCGAAAACAAAATCAAATAATAATGTAGATATAAAAAAAAAAAAAAAAAAAAAAAACAGAAAACAAACTCAATCTTGTCGACTTATTTTTTATTCTTTTTTACTGACTAATAAATCAAATCTGCTGTACACGTCGTGCAGCTAAACCTGTTTTCTTTCCATTGTTGCGTTTCTTTGAGAAATTTAAACACGCAGCACTTTCGATGGGTCAAATAACTATGATAGCCGTTGATATCAGATACGAAATCTTATATTAATTTAAAATAGTTGTTAAATTTAAATTCTTACGGTTGCATTTTATATTTTCAACAGTAAAATGAAGCGACTTATTTGCCAATTTTCTACTATGTTTAAATTCGTGAAGTCGTCGAGGTACCAAAGTGGAATGGAAGATATGCTAGCGTTATAACCTTCCCCATGCAGAGAAATGTTACGATCGTTATCATCCATACAAACTAATGTAAAGATACATGTCTCAAAGAATCAGTCAATAATAATAATAATAATAATAATAATAATAATATATAAAAACCTTTCTTGGTACAGAAAGCATAGCAGAAACACCTAACATGGTGAAGCATAGGAGAATCTAAAAGACTAACAAAAGCTAAACTAGTTTGTTATATATATATATATATATATATATTTCAGATTTACGATAACAAAAAAGGTTTATTACATACCCAGTAGATAAAAAGAAGCGACAAAGGCGATTTTATGGATTTCTCTCGTATTCCTTCACATGACAGTGTTTCTTTTTTTCTCTATGGTAAAAATAAGCAATTACCTAATCTTCTTATTGTGGTTGTACAGCTCTAGGGAAATGTGCGTTCAGATAATGGCCATATGTACCCAACCGTCTACTGATAGGTTTAGGGCTATTTACCTGCATTTAATTTTTACATGAAGTTTCGTAATGTTGGATTGGAACGGCTTTGCAATCTTTACAATGCTTAACAAATTCAAATAATATGACTGCATCAGATGAAATCTGTTTCCAATATCTTTAAAATGTATGGATATTTGGTGTACATTCTTTACGTTGAGTTTGTGAGTAGCGTTTAAAAGCCATCAGTAGAGTGTCAATACAGGATGATGAGCGCTAAATGTTTGTAAAATGTAGAGAAATTTGTAAACCCTTTCGTTTAAACTGTTGTTGAAAAATCCATATTTCTTGCTGTAATCTTGTACGTTTTTAAAGATTGATACTTTATTTAAATTCTGATAATATTTTGTATTTAGACAAACCAATATTAACCAAAGGGATGACGGATTATATGCGAATAGTTCACTTCTAAATAAATGCAATACAAACAATAGGATGCTGTGGAGAGATGCTTCCAAAAAATAAAACATTTTATAACGACCACACCCAGTGACAGACCCCAGTATATCCCTGCTTAATTTATACAACACAATATGCTTTCAACTTTCGATTTTTTTAAAAATTAATTTACACCAATCAAGGCGATAATGCTACTAAGACGCAAGGGGCTACTGTGTGTGAAAGAGAATGAAAAAACTTTAAAATGAATTGGAAACCCAATCCTAAACAGGAAACAAGGGATAATTTTATAATTAAATTTCTTATATAATCAAAGAAAGCCATCTTATACTCTGACCAATTTAGGATTTAAATCACAGCTTGGGAATCAAGAGAAGAAATAAAATTATGAAGGAAATCAAACATCGCTGACATTTTTAATAATTTAAATTTAACAACTATTTTAAATTAATATAAGATGTTGTATCTGATATCAAAGTTTTTGACTCATCGAAAGTGTTGCGTGTTTAAATTTCTCAAAGAAACGCAACGAAGCAAAGGAAACAGGTTTTTATTATTCTCTATTTCTTTTACTTTCTGTAACACCCTTTCAGCTTAATAGCATTTATCGATTTGCTTGAAGGGGGAATGATTTAAGAAAAAAACCTACACCATCTTTTAACTTAATTTAAGGCAACGGTAAGGTACATCGATATATTCTTCTTCTTCTTCTTCTTCTTATTATTATTATTATTATTATTGACTGATTCCTTGAGACATGTATCTTTACATTAGTTTGTATGGATGATAACGATTTGCTATTTGGGTCTCGGGCCATAACGAGGGGATAATAACACTCAAAAACAATTTGGCAAAATCCTTTATTCTTTTTGATCAAATCATGATCAGAATTGTTATAGTAAAATTCATATTTTCCTACCCAACCACCCGGCGAATGGATATCGACAAAAATCTTGGTAGGAAAAGATAAGTTGAACATTTGATTTTATTTCTTTCCATTAATACTCTCCGTCTCTTGTTACTGAGCAATTTAACTGCAAAAGCTGTTTGCCTTAATACTATTATCCTTCAGAAATACACAGGTCGACATTTTTTGTGGAGGGAGAACGAACCCCAAATTTTACAATTTTCAAAAAAGGTGTTTTACCACGAGATGAAAATTATGGGTGTTTATCCATATCTTTTTCTAAAATTGTTCAACGTTCATGTTTTCTTCTGTCTTGTTCAAGTGCATTTGAACATCTCAGCCATTATCAAGAACCGGGTGTTGTTCGTATGATTAACAAGATTTTGTTGTCTACATACTGGCATTTTTGCAGTGCTTGAATTTCATTCAGACCAAAGTGATGATATAACGTTATAACGAACGAACCCCTAGCGAAAAAGTGTCTATTAAATATCGATAAATATCAACAATTTTTATTCCAAGGTACAACATATTCGAACATTTGAAAAAATTCATTTAAAATATTAAATAAAATTTAACAAAATCTTTTAAATAAATTCTTGCTGGTGAAATATGAAATGTAGTCGAATGAGTCCAAATTTGTTGATTATTAATTTTATAATTTGATTTAGAAAACATTAATATGCATAATAAAATGTGACAACCTGTATGTACAAATATGTTTATGTCCGATAGACATGTTTACTGATAATCAATATTCGATTAATAAAGAGGAAATCTATCAATATATCGATATTTTATGTCATAGTATGATGAACAAAAAAGACATTCTCTGGTTATTTATAATAAAACAGGAAAGTAGCGATGAGACAAATGGGCAAATAGACAAATGGGCAAATAGATAAATGACCAAATAGGCAAATAGACAAATGGGCAAATAGACAAATGAACAAATGGGAAAATAGACAAATGAACAAATGGGCAAATAGACAAATGGGCAAATGGACAAATGGACAAATAGACAAATGGGCAAATAGCCAAATGAACAAATGGGCAAATAGACAAATGAACAAATCGCCAAATAGACAAATGGGCAAATGGAAAAATATACAAATAGGCAAATAGACAAATGGACAAATGAGCAAATGGGCAAATAGACAAATTGGCAAATAGCAAAGCAAAACAAGGAAAGATTTTGAAAAAGAAGAAAAAAGGATTAAAATCAATTTCGCCTTTCAGATTAACACTTCTTTGACTTTATTCAGATTAACGTTTCTTTGGCCTTATTCGTTTATTTTCGATTAAATCGATTTTAGTTAAATATTGAAGTTGTGTGATTAAACATCGAAACATTACACAAAACAACTGTTCCACGTTAACCGAATCTGTTCATATATATTTATATCAATATATATGTGAGAGGGGATACGGCTGCACCTTGGTGTCGTTTGAGGTTGGCTGTAGAGGATATCCTGCTGCTTTCTTAAAGAGTGTGCTGCTATACAAAAAGTCTAATAAGGTGATAAAGGCCCGTGACGAGAAGACATGATAAAGACCTGTGATGGAAGTCAGTGCATGGATGACCCGGGAATTCGAGTCGTGTCCAGCTAACAACATAGACTGGTTGCAACGTACCATCATTCAGCTGTTGTGGGCCTACCGTGTGGAGAGATATTGAGCTTAATTTTTTTGAAGCACAGCGCTCAGCTCAGTTCCTAGGAACCGAAATGTTTTCATTATAGTGGTGAAGGCTTTGTGGAAAACCAACCCCACATTTTGAAGGGTCGAATACTGAGACCTGGTGCACTACGTGGCACAAGGTCATCAAACGACAGGTTTTGAATTCAGAGTTCTCCTTTTCGTAGACCAGTTGCCATCCAAGGCTATATTTACCCATAGCTGGAGGGAGAAGAAGAGGATTAATACCTTTCCCAAGGGTATTAGCACGTAAGTGAATGTAATGGATTCGATTGGAATTCGAACTCGGCTCTCCGATTCCTCAATCCGAGCCGCTGTGACTGTTGCCACTGGGTAGTGACCTGACTGTTCACTTTTGCATAAGCTCCATCTCTGATCTTGAGCACACTTTTACCCATAAATATAGCATACCTTAAAACTATATATATATATATATATATATATATATATATATATATATATATATATATATATATTGAGTTACTTTTACCCATAAATATAGCATACATTAAAACTATATATATATATATATATATAGCGTTTAAGTTATGCTATATTTATGGGTAAAAGTGTGATCAATATCAGAGATAGAGCGTATGTAAAAGTGAACAGTAAGCTCAGTACCCATCAGCGACAGTCTGTTTCATGCTTGAACGCAACCTTCCGGCCATGAGTATTTCGTTCAAGCAGGATACAAACTATCATCGCTTGGTCGTGACCTCAGTGTGCATTTATATAAATATATAGGCCAAAGTTTTGGGCTACCTTCTCCGGTTCAACTAACTTTTACCCAGTCAGGATAGACGCTGAAACCTTAAATTTAAAATCCGACAGCCTTAAGATTACCATTTACCAGCAAAAGTAAGTGAGACATAAAAAGATAATATATTAATTGTGTTTTTGCTGGTGTATTTTGTCTGTGTGTGTATATAAAAAAATTACATAAAAATTGTATAAAAAAGTGTATAAAAAGAATACATAAAAATAGCTGGACGTTTAAAGCGTTATTTACTTGTTAACATTTTACTCTCAACGAGAATTATTATGGATAATACTCGTTGAGAGCGAAACGTCAACAAGAAATTAAAAAGTGTAAACATCAATTAGTTTTCACGTATTCCATCTTACGTACTTTTTTACATCATTTAATTATTATATATGTATGGATAAACCCACTTCATCTCTTGTTGGGATTTTTACAGAATTCAAAACATCAAAATTTAATTTAACTCTGTGTTTTCAGGATTTCTTCTCATAAAATTTTGACCAGCACTTATAATCAGTTTAGAGTAAATGACATCTCAGCTTCATAAAACATATCTCCTTCCCTTATTATAGATAGATAGATAGATAGATAGATAGATAGATAGATTGATGGTCTGAAGACTGCGTTTAAGCATGAAACAGACTGTTAGCACTGGGCGTTGACAGCAATGTTCACTTTGATATTTGCATACGCTCTATCTCTGATATTGATCACTTTAACCCCAAAATACCGCATACCATAAAACTATATTTTCATCATATATATATATATATATATATATATATATATATATATATATATATATATATATGTATGTGTGTGTGTGTGTGGTTAGATTTAGAGACATTGAGAAAAGGATAAAATCAGAACTGGGACATTTTAACTAAGATATTCACCATCGAAGATAATATTTTGTTATGTATAAAACTATTATTTATTGCAAACAAAAATCTATTTCGAAAAATAATGCAAAAGTTCGTTTGCCTTAGTCATAATTAGGCATAGACTATTCGGAATACACTTGTGCATTGGTTTGTGGCAAATAACGAATTTCAAAGGTTTTAATATTTAGTTACCTCCGTAATGTTTTGGAATTGTAGAAAATTTGATATAATATAATAATATTATTATTAAAGGCAGTTTTAATTTTCAGCTCTTTCCATAACCCTTGAAAATCATACTTCAGCTTAATAACTGCTGATAGGAAAATCTTTATCCATTATTGCTGATCTAAGTAAGTGATACATAGAGAATTTTTAAGCAATGAATAATATATATATATATATATATATATATATATATATTAAAATTAGAAATATATATATATACATATTATTTAATTTATTTTATGTTTATACATTATTTTAATAGATATCATTTATTTAAGTAAATTCTCTGTATTTAATTAAACAGTATTAATTACATTTGCTGCCCTGAATGGTTAACAGCACGTCAGATCAAATGACGCTTCCCGTGAGGTTTAGAGATTCGATTCCTATCTGAGAACGCATATTTTCTACGAAATATATTCAGGCCGGTAAATGTGATTAATACAGAAAATACATTAAAAATTGTCGGACTTAATACATTTCATTATATATATATATATATATATATATATATATATTAATCGGTATCGACCCAAGCAAGGCAGTACAGCCAGTAAAACGCTAGGGGTTACAGGGTGTGGAGGAATTAAGAACAGAAACATTAATAATGTGTGAAAAGAGAAAAGAGCAGTCAAGAGGACAGTAGATAGCGATTGACACTGCATTTAAATATTTGTAGATTAAAGTTGGAAAGCATTGAACAATGAGAAGTGCAAAAGAAGAAACTGTTAGCATAGAACTTACGGTTCCATCTAGCCGGCTCAATTATAAATTGATGCAATCTAACTGACAGTATAGTACTGAGCTTAAATTCATGAAGTCTCGGTGCTATAGGGAAGAAATCATCCGAACAATTACTGTAAAAAACGCACAGAGAGGCAACATTATGGCAGTGGGTAAGTGATTGAAGCCGAGCGGCCAGTTCAGGACCAATAATATTGCTGATTCTTCTTTGGATCTCAAGGAGCTGCAGGTAAATAAGAAGTACAAATGATCATATGTGGCAGCAATATTCTAAGCATGGACGAATGGTGGACTTATAGACATGCAAGATAGATTCCGGAGAGAAAAATTGTCTCGCCTGGCACAGTGAATCGACTTTCTGAGCATTTGACCGAGCAATGGATTCTAAATAGTCTTTCTACTTTATGTCAGCTGAGAACGTTAGCCTGAGAAGTCAAAACGAGTCACTTATATATTTTTTTCTGTGAAGATGGTAGAAAAACAAGAAAGAAAGAAAGAATGAAAGAAAGAAAGAAGGAAAGAGGGAAAGAAAGAAAGAAAGAAAGAAAGAAGGAAAGAGGGAAAGAAAGAAAGAAAGAAGGAAAGAAGGAAAGAGGGAAAGAAAGAAGACAAATTTAATGATAATAAAGAAAAAAGTGATAAGGTAAGAAAGAAGAAAAACCGTAAAAAAGAAAGAAAGAGAAATTTTGAAAAAAGCATGATGGAAATAAAGAAAGAAAGTAAACCTTCTTACCGTGTGTTGTTTTTGTTATGTTGGTGTTGGTACGGCATCATGGCGCTCGGGGAACATACACTCTCGTCAGTCAACGGATAAGCGATGACAATTTACATTGTCATCTCACACCGGATAAAAGCAATCACGCGGATATGGACAGAGCACAGCCAAACTTCTACCAAACTAAATCCATGTTGGCTCGTTTGTTTTCACTTCTTTAAAGTAAAAAAAATGGGGTGGGGGGAAGAAAGTCTGTTTATCCTGCGTATCTTTAAAATTTCCGACTCTATATTTGCGTATTTGTAGATATTTATTCCACTTGAAAGTTGATTTTTTTTTTCAGTTTATTGTTCGATTATTCACGTCTTTTTATAAGAAAGGCAAATATTGCCATCCATTTTTTTTTTTTTTTTTTAATGATAACGATTTCTTTCTTCTTTACTTGCAGGTCTTTTGAGTAAAAAATATTTTTAAATTGAATTTTCTTAAGTGTTTTTCATTTTTAATTTTGTTATTCAAATTTGAAAAATCATTTGCTTTTTTTTTTACTGATAGTCATAAATGTAATTTTTCGATATGATGCGTAAAATTGATTAAAATTTCGAAGTAAGCATTTCTTTGTAGAAAATTTGGGAACTGTTTTTTATTTTTTTGTTACATTTTTTGTCTTGATTACATTTTTGTTTCTTTATTTTTTTTGTTATCTTTACACATTTTATTCTTTTTTCAAACTCTGTCTTCCTTCTTGCTTGTCTGTCTCTTTGTCAGAATATAAATTTACTAATTTTAAACGTAAGCGTCCTTTTTAATCTTTTTGTTTTTCGCTTATTTACTCCCAGCATTTTATATTTGTAACTTTTTCAATCGATTTCACCAGACAAGCGAAGATATGATTCATTCGCAATTTTTCAACGCGTCTTTATGATAAATTGTTCTTTATATTTCATTACACAAAACCTTTTTGTATATTTGTGGCTTTGTCATATTAAATACCATTTTTCATTTTCTATTTTTGTTTGTTTTTTGAAAACCGATAAAAATAACTCCAAGTTTTCTTTTGTTTTGAATTCGTTTCCTCCTGAAACTCCGATTTTTAAAAGTAACCGTTGAGAATAACAAAAAACAGGAATAAAAAAAATCAGTGTTTCTCTTGATGTTTTTTCTTTTATTTTCCCGTTTCAGTCGAAAGAAAAATTAAGCCTTTTTTAATCTTTTTTTCCAATTTCAGTTTTTCGTTGGATTTCTAACCAACAAACAAACCAAGTCAGTCATTACCGAAAAAAAACTTTTGGAAACAATTTGGATCACTATTTTTGGTTTCAGATTCAATCAATGGGTTCCAAAATATAATTATCGATTAGGAAGACGTATCGATGAAACAGAAGCAACAGCAGCAACAGAAGTATGCCAAGTCTAGGGTAACTTTAGTCTTTTTGTTAAAAATCGATTAAGCGATCAATTATATACTGACTGCTTCGATTTTGTGCACACGTATATATATATAGTTATTGAATTTTTATGTTTCTTTCTGAGAAACAAACGGCTATGAGTTTGTACACCAATATGACCAGAAAGTTCTGTAATAAAAAGTTTCTGACAATGAAAAAAAATTGTTTAATTTGTTGCACGTGTGATTGTCAATGTTTATATTTATCGATGGTGGAAAGCATGTTTCCATCATGTCCGTATTTAGAGAAGACGAAATTTTTAAAGAATCTGTTCTCGTGCATAAAGGCTTATCATTATAAAATGTTCAAGGCTTCTAACCTTTAAAGAATAGAAAAATGTCGGTTGGGAAAAAGAGAGAATAAATTGTTAAGCATGCGATTCATTCACTTTCGTTTTACTGAACGTCAATCAGGAAAATTGGCAAAGCTATTTGTATAACAGAAACTTCTTGTAAACGTGTAAACTAAATTTCATGTTACACACATGTATGAGCATTTAAACACCTGTATAGACCGAATATGTTGGTTTTAATAAGTAAACCAGAAAGGAGTGGAAGTTTTTTTTATTTATAAGTACTTGTATGTGTTTATATATATATATATATATATATATATATATATATATATATATATATATATATATATGATGCCTGTTTGTGTATGTATGTGTAAATCAAAATAAATTATAAGTTTGATGACATGCAAAAGTTCAATATGAGGTTCGACAAGTTACTTCTTTCAGATAAAAGCGGAGTGTTATGTGGCGGCCATTTTGATTTTTATCGTTTGATTTTTTTTTATTCTTTTGCTTCTCTTGTTTTGATCCTCACATGTGAACACTTTCTGATCGTCACATGTGAACACTTTCTGATCCTCACATGTGAACACTTGAGAAATTGCTATGGTAAAAAGACACGAAACTTCCCCGAATTTGTTGATAATAGTTTCTTTTTATTATATTAAGTTCTTTATGGATTTAGAAATTATGATTTGAGCCTCAATTTGAACTGGGGTTAATTATGGATATATTAATTTTAGTTATTATTTCGAAGAAGACAGGCAATAATTGAACCACAACCGAAATGTTTAAGGAAATAAAATTTATCTTGAAAATGGAATAAGAAATACGACTTTATCATTTGCAAGGAGAAAAAGTGTTAATGGTCAGAAGTTTAGAAAGCGACTTTGGTGACGTATTAGAAAAAAAAGGGAAACTGTGTTTAAGCTTAGAAATTAATGAGAAGTGTTGTTTTGTATTTTTGCTCCATCGAAACGCGTTTTAAGCTTGTACTTGATTATCAGTTTTGCATTACTGCCTCAACAACAGGAATAATTGTTGCGCTGAAATATATCAAGTACACACACACATATATATGTGTGTGTGTGTGTATGTGTGTGTAATGTGTTATTATTTCGCATGAATGTTGTTAAGGTTGAAACGGCACCTGATTCTTCTCTGTGACACGAAATATAACTCGTGCCTACATTTAAGAAAAAGATTAGTGAGTGCGCTTCAAATGAAAAACCGAGGTAGAGTATTGGTAAGGAGTTTGACTTTTAAGGGGCAGTTGGTCAGTTGGTAATGATGTTCACTAAACTTTATTTGGTTTCGAGCTAAAATAGTGAGGCACCCGGTGAAGATCGAACTCACTATGTCAGCGATACAATTTTAGGACTATCGATCTACTTCAAGCGCATTAATTAATGATGGCCACTGAATTTTATTCTCGGTTTCTCAAGAAGTCTTTTACTATTTGTCCGTTATAAAGTATGCAGAAATAACTCCAAATGTTTGTATCTATGTTTATAAATATATTGTTGAATCTATAAAATAAGTAGAGAATAGTGATAAAAGAAATACTAATCAGGTGTCAAGTTACTGTTTAATTAAAATCAAGAGGCAACCCTATTTTCCATTAAAATTTTCTTTTATTTGATTATATTTTCATAAGAGAATATCAGAATGAAACACCTGCATCCACCTACATCCCTTTTTTTATCTATCCTTTTTAAGTTGATGTGTATTATTCAGATATGGTTATGAGAGGGGAAATTAATTTACAAAGGTATTTATTATTTGTAATGTTTATCAAAATAATTGTTTTTCTTTTTTGTTAGCAGAAATGCTCGTCTGTTCCCACAATGCAACGCAATTAACGAATCTATAACAGATTCGGCACAGACAGAAATACACAAGAAAAAGCTTTTTGAACCGACCGAAACATTGTAAAGGGGAAATTAAATATAAGAAAATTACAAAATAAAAATGTAATATTAACGAGAATTCATCTCAATATTTCAGACAGAAAACAACAAACATTCGTGAAACGTGTCTCCATTCAATACACGTCCCGGCATTCATAGCAACTGACAAACACGTGATTACTTAACGAAAACGAGGCACAACAGTAGTTTGAGAATGGCAGTGATGTCGGCTGCACATTTTACTTACTTTACTTCAGGAAAAAATAGTTGAATTAAAAGAAATAGGTACTAATAAGTTTTTTTTTTAATTTATGGCTTAGAGGTAAATCAGTATGAAATCTATTCATACACATACAATAGTTGAGGTTTTACATGGAATACTAATTTTGCGACTAAAGAAACATTCAAAATAGAGTTATTTAGATGTATGATAAATAAAATTTGTGCGTACAAGTTTGAAATTAAATTCAAATTCAACTACATTAGTTTTGAGAGAACCAAAAATATTTGATAACTAGGGAAGGCAAACTTTATTTTTACTTATATAGGAAATAGGTTTTAATATACAGTCTATGCCATATATTGGTATAGTTTGATATGTCAGTAACAGCTAAGGAAATAGTAAACAAATATTGATGGATAATCGAAAATAATGGCTCGATTGATTGATTGATAAATTATTCGATAAAAATGTGTATGCCTGTGTCAATATATAAAATAGCTATGGTAACTAATAAACGGCTAGACAGATCAAAAGTATAAAACTAAATGCAAATCGATCTCCATAATAAAAACTGACTTAAATGGAACTAGGACCGCCAGAAGTATGGATAATATACGGACAGACAGAGACACATCAAAGATACGGATCAAGTGTTATGCACCAAAGAATAAATGTATAGAAATGGGCAGAGATTCAATGTATGTGAGATGACCAAACGACCGCCCGACAGGTAGATGGATATGAATAGACTGAAATAGATAGATAGATAGATAGATAGATAGATAGATAGATAGATAGATAGATATTTCCTAAATATGCTTCGTAAGCGTTTTTGCAGTTCAGCTTATTTGGTGTGTATATTATTTTTAGAAATGTTGATTTCCACAGTGAAAGTGAATAATGAACAAATTTCCTTTAATTTTTGTGGCTTTTATTCTTTATGAAAGACATTTTTGTTCAAGGCACATTCCCCTCCATATATATATATATATATATATATATATATATATATATATGTATTATATATATATTATTTAATTTGCTTCTTAGCAACCAAACTGACTGATTGAATCATGTGGTAAAGAAGTTGATCGATTCGAATGTTTGC